ACAAGTGTAAGAACATGAGGCACAACCAATCCCTTCCTAATGCCGCACAGGACGTCCATGTTGCGCATTTTTTCAGTCCCAGTTGGTGCCTTCTCATGATAAGCTAAAAAATTACAATCTACAAAGGTCTTGATGCCGTTCCCATGAGATTCTCTCTTTTCACAATCTAGGGTTATAAATGCTAGCCATCCGTCAAACGACTTAAATATCAGATGGATAGGGCGAACTGGTTTGAAGGATGCTGGAGGTCTCCCAAAAAGAGTGTCAAAGTAATAAGTCCCAAATCAAAAGCCAATGAGGTTATCGGCTCTCAGACAGTAAATAAGAAGAGGCAAAATACCGTGGAGCTGTAATTCAATATCTCAAAATATGTCCGCATTTCATATTGTGTTACCTAACTCGAGTCTGCGGTTTGGTACTCGGAATACTTTTTATCAACACAGTTGAAAAAGGCGGTTCAGAAACCTCTTCTGGAGGTCCTGCAGAAGTGGCCACGAAATCTTGCAGAACACTGTCAACGTACAAAAAGAACACTGGTTTACATAATCGTGTCTGATAGTCAACTTGAAGGGCTGAACCAAACGTTCTTTTCTATGCAAACACGTTTCGGGCACTGCAATAATTTCTTCCAAATATGCATCTAGAGAAAGGCGATTCGCCTGAATCTCAGCACCCGAGACGAAAATTCAGTCTAAAATTGTTATAAGGTATTACTTTCGAATTTCTGACGGAATGACACCCCGGTTTTTCTGAAGTCCGCTGGTGCCAGAGCAGCTCCTTGATTGCCATATCAGCGTAGAATGAGGTATAGTTTTGAGTTGACTGAATTTTTGTCCTTCAAGTGTACGTTGGACAGGAATTGCCTCTACCCTCCCCCAATCCCAAAAACTGTTGCGGCACTATTGTCCCAGACCAAAACGGGAGCTACGCAGACTCGTAGAGGCTGCCATGTTTGGTACATTGTTAGCTTTCTCTGCAGTTTATTATAGCTCTCCTTGACACTAAGCCTTTCGAATGCGACAGCTCGACCGTCGTTACCGATGAAGTCTATGGTTTACTTTACGCCAGGGTGGGAACCAGGAGGGAGGGGAAGGTGACTTGTGCGCGAATGCGTTGATGGGGAAAACTGACTTTCGCAGCGTCCACCACATTTTCTCATCCTCCCCCACCGGGGCCAGCGTCATGACAGAGTCGGAAAGAATGGTATTACCGACAAAGACGAGGGAGACTGGAATGGCCATTTCTGGCCTATTGGTCGTCGTCAGCCAGCCATACCCAACTCCGAAGTGTGGAACACCCGAGGCTCGAATTCGCGACGTGCTAGTTAGAAGTTCAACGCCTCTAACCACTGGGCCGCGGGTTCGTTGTCTTGTAAGTTGCGATCGGAAATATACAATGATGGAGGGGCGATCACCGATCGTTTCCACGGAGCTCGCTCGTTCCGTTGTGCTTTACGCACTCTCTCATGAGCCAAAAAGATTGGACAACGAGCCCGTGGCCCAGTGGTTGTAGGCGTTGCACCTCTAACTAACGGGTTGCGGGAACGAACTCCAGGTGTTCCACACTCCTATGTGGTTTAGGACTGGCTGGCGACGGCTAATAAGCCAGAACTGGCTCTCCCAGTCTTCCCTGTCTTTGTCGGTAATACCATTCTGTCTATAGCATGCGCCGCTGTGAGGCTGCTGGTTGGGCTCAAAAGAGTGAGCCCGTAAGGCACAACGGAAAGAGCGAGTTTCATAAGAACGATCGCTGAGCGCCCCTCTACCAGAGTCGAAAAGATCGGAACCGAGAGAGGACACAGGTGGCTGACACAGTAAAAGACGGCATTGGACCCCTTCATCCACAATGTAGAACTAACCAGGATTTTACACAATATATAAGCACTCAACAGCTGGATGATCGAATATTCGCACACCAATTACATGTCCTATGAGCGCTTTGCCCCTCTAAGCAGTTTACCTTTGCATGTTTACTTTTTCTTCATCGGATTACGCAATTTTCTGCCTATCAAACGGCATCTGGATTCTATAATAGGCGTTTTTCACTCCCCACTCATTTTTGAAGCTCGCCAATTGTTCGTCACACCGCAAACCCATCGTTGTTAGTGTTACTTGTCCTTTTTACTCCAAGTAGCGCGAATAGTTAGGAATCCGAATAATTAATATTAACGCACATAGGACATTACTGTTCTTGCCTATTAGATAAGTTTAATGTGTATAAGAACTAATGGCGAATTCGTTTCAAATTTTTTTATGCAAAGATAAATAGAACAGTTTAAGAATGATGGAGATTTTCTTGATATCTACCTATATTTCACATTGTTAAGTAGTGCAGGTCAACGTTGCTTGTTTGTGCTCTTTTTATTGCGAAAAACCCAACTGCTAGTTTAAAGGTTTCCGTCAGGTCTCTTATTGAACAGAATAAATTAGATTTTGCGTCCGATGTCGATTATAAAAAATCGCGTTATTTTCAAGAAACCGGAGCAGGACTTGCTTCAAATTTTTGATTCGCAAATTATTGGTCTTTTCTGTCATAGAACACAGTAGAAAACTTGACAGGCAGTACTTTTTCTTGTCACGCTGAGTACTAAAGGACGTAAACAAATACAGAGGGAGTGACCTCGAAACGTGGCCACTTTTCTCTTTCATGCTGTAGGAGTTTTGAAAATATTTCCCTTTCGGGTTGGTAAAACCCACCTGCAGACCCACTAAAACAGTTAGTGTTGCTGTACAGAGCACTTAAGATCTCAAGAACTTATTGTGTTGCATGAATACCCATGATGTAGCCATCAAAATTAGTAATGACTCTCAAATTCCACCATGCTCCCAATCCATGACGCCAAGTTTATTTGTGTTCCAAGGGCATTCAACTGGCCCACTTAATCTCTTTTCAGAGGAAGCTATTAGTTTAGCTTGATTCGGCATGAAATAGATTCTACTGTTGTCTTCTTAAAACTGGCCGACGGGTCCAAACGGACTTTTTACTCGTGGTTTAGGGAACCGACGCCGATGCGATTTTTGGCCCAACCACACTTACTTTAACATACCCAATGCGTTATAAAATATTACAATCGCGACAGTTATCAAAAACGCCCTAGACATAAACGTTTGTAGCACGTGCCGTCAGAAGCGTTTAGCGCACAAATTGGGTTATTCACACACTGTACACAGTGAGGGTAAGGTTCAGGATAATCTTTCTCATTTGATTCTCCAATGAAAATCTAAGGTGTTACAGTAAGTTCCGTTCTGTCGAGGAAATTCAATTTTTTTATTATGCTTAACGTACACTGCATTTGAGTTAATCAGGTAATCGGTCGTCTCATTCATTTCTAGATTTGCGCTAGGTCCCAATTCTATACTTAGGCCCTAGCATGATCTCGACCACACACCACGCCCTAAAACTATCCCCAACATAAAACTACACCCTCAAACTGGACGTACCCGCAACTCTAGCCCTAAACCAAATTTTAGCACCAAATCTAACCCTAACCGTGGACCTAAACTTAAACCTTACCCCTAATTCAACCCAAAAGTCGAATCTGGCCCTAAGCCAAGTATCAACTGTAAATTTAACCCTAAACACAAGCAATACCCTAGCCCCAAACCCAACCATAACCGAAAACCTGACCTTAATCCCTACACCAGCCCAACCCTAAACTAGACCCGAATCCTAAACCAAAGCTTAATCGAACTCTTATCTTTTCATTAAGAACTGTGTGCTAATTCTACGAGACTACAACCTGATCTCCGGTTAAACAAAGCAGATTACGTAGACGTGGTTTAGTTCCACCTGCGGTACTTATCGAATCAATTAGTTCTGTCTCTACTTCTTTTGGTTAGCAAATAACTAAGTGGCTTGCAGTAAACAGGTACAAGCATATGGATGAAAAGCCTCCAGGTGCGCTTGGATTACAAAAACACGTCGCTTTTACTTATCATCATAAACTTTGAAATCACTAATCGGAGGTCTTCAGCGCACACCAGGGTTTGAACTAAATCCATTCCATCGACTAGTATTTTCTATTTTACTTAGTTGAGTTACCTAGACGTACAAATAGCCTAATCGGTTCTCCAGCCCAAGCCTATGTCGGTTTTCTTCAATTAACTCTACCTTCTTTGTCTGCATTATGCTAGGCAGTATTTGACGGCTGGTTATTTTCTGCAGCTTATAGTAAAAATAACCATAATCATTTTTTTCTTGACTAATTATATGTTCCTTCCTTGACATCGCCCATTGCTCCGTTTTTTGCCGGTCCCTGGTCTCAATCAGTACAATTCTTCTTAGCCTTCCTTGGTTTAGCCTGAATTACGTACCTGAATGGACTCCCGGAGTAAAGTGCAGTAGTATTTCAAACCCCGTATATTTAGTAAAAATTAAAACTTTTCAAAGAAAACGAAATTTTCATTTGACAAACTGTTAACCCAGCACTTTAAAGAGAATAACGAAAACTTAGACGTACGGCATCCGAGACTGACTTGGTCACAGCCCATTGCGCCGTCCATTTTTTCATTCTCCTTATTTCGAAGTCGAAATTCTTTCTGCTTACCTTACTATCGGCTCGCATGCGATCGACCACCTTCCAGTTTCCCCTTGAGCGTCCGTATATCGCGCATCCGCATTGCGTTCCACACGTTTGCAGCGGGAAGTCCTAGTATTCTGGATGGCGCAGAACGCACGTGAGTTTCCCAATCATTAAATTAGTCGGTTAGACTTCGAAATGGAAAAGTTGGTGCTTTGCTTTTGAAAATTTACTACAAACGTTCATTAGCCTTCTACTTCAAATTTTCTTTTTCGTCATTCATTCCACAACTATAGTATTTTTGGTCCTTGGTCTCTCGACTACCTTGGACCTTCGTGCATCTCTGTAAATAGTCTTGCGAGGTATTGCCCTATTATGTTCTCTTGAGATTTATTCATAACAGATTGCCAGAACATTGACCGTCCTTGAGCGTCGTTATGGTAACGCACTGCTGTCGGCGAATTTTCCAAATCATCCTCTAATGGAAACAGCTGAACTTGAGCAGGAAGGACAGACACAAGATAACCATGTTTATACATACCCACTAGTAAAGGTAAAACATTATTCTAAATACGAAGCTAATTTTTGTTGCAGCGATAAAAGCTAGCCACTCATAAAATAAAAAAATAAGCAATAAGTTTTCTATGTCTATAAACATAGCTGTTTGACATCTGACAAAACAACTTTGTGTGGTAAGGGTATATAAACATAAGCCACTTAAATTCCCGAAGTATGACAATAAGGGAGTCAGGTCTTGTCGGATACAATCAATCTTATAAAAGTTGCTGATATCAACAGTTATATAAGTTCGCAGCATAATTTTTAAGACGTAAGGGTTACGAACTGTGAAAAGCCTTGAGTTCTAGACAAAAAATAACAAGCCTCTTTCATTGTTTTATGTACTTAAGAAGTTTGAAGGAGTTACCGCATTTACCTACTGTCACGTCGGTTGAAGTCGGTATTAACGACCGTGCTGTCATATGCCTCCCCCCCCCTCAGGGGTCGAGGCGTAGTCCCTTGGGCATTTACGTATGATTCGTTTATATCTTACGGTAAGTTTACCGTACACACACACACGTAATGTTGTCGTGTAAATAGGCCTTTAAGCTGACTTACGTAGAATGCCCTGTATATAATCGCTGTTTAAGCCTACATCAATGTCGTTGGATTGAATATCTACATGGCTTTGTTTTTTGGCTGTCAGTGGGAATCTCACTTATTAAAATTTTTTAAGGTTGGTTTCATGAAATTTCAATATGCTGAATGCTCCGGATGTAATGTTAATCTAAGACTTATGCGTTCTGAATGCACAAATGAGTAACATCTCTAGGGTGGGAGGTGTCTGCTTACCCTAGTCTTTCACCGCGTGTTTGGACCAGATCTACCTAGGAATCATTAAAGGAGGGGTGCTTCACTTCAGCCTAATTAAGCCCTACCATAACTAACCGCACTTAACCCTCTCTTTGTCCTTGGGGCTGAAGGGGCCCTGGGAAGTCTATAAAAAGGCAGACGTGTTTGTCATTACGCCAGTCCGCTCTCCCTTATCTCACCAGTGGAACAAAATTAGCACGGGGACGCCACGTTTTCTTCGTTTATGATCTGCTTTTGAGATATCAATTCTGCCGCACAAGGCACATTCCCTCCGATGTAACGGTTGTTTGTCAACCTTGGATGGGGAATATCAAAACCGTCCAAGACCTTACCGAACGTGACTCAGCCACATGGAGCCATACAGGTGAACCAGCGGACGTCCCACGCAGCATCCTGGTTATGATGGCTATTGCCGACTTATAAGCCGTTATCAACAAGTCATGCCCAATCTCCGGTTTGAAGCGGACGGGGTTCGTTGCCTGGATCTTTGGTCTTTAAGTTGAAAACTAGGCCATCGAGCCACAGGCCCATTGTCCTATCGATTGCGGTCGGAAGTATAATGTTGCAAATGCTTTCACTGATCGAATAGCAGGATATTCTAAGTTGCAACAGATGGGCCAGTGGCTCAATTTTAGAACGTCCTACTCAATGACATAAGATCCAGGACTCGAATCCCAGATACTCTAAACCAGTGGTTGGGTGTGTTTAGTTGGTGGCCACCAATGGGTTAGAAATGGCTACTCTCACCTCCCAGGTCTTTGTCGGTCTTCCAGCATATATTTATGGTCCCTGTGCGACTGTCTTTGTGAACTCTAGACTGAGTGCAGGTCACACCGTGATCTTATCCCATTATACGGTCAGTGAATGAGGTCCCAATATAAAAGTAATATTTTTAGCATCATGTGTAGCCTAAATATATAATGAATTGTAAGCAATTCTGTCAGAAGCTGAACCCAGTGAATGTGAGATCGCCGATGACGTCCTATCTAATTAAGTAACCGTCAAGAACCAGCGGTAAATCAAATCTAGGATTGGTAAAACTGGGATAGATTAGCTTCGAGCATATCTCTCATCGCACCGCAGACTCGTTTTACTGGAGTATTCACTTGAGGATCTTGGCGAAAAAGAACTTCTTTCAAAAATTCATTATTCTATCGGACGAAAAAAGCCTATCCAGCGCCTTTCAACTTCCACCATATTATGTTTCGATAAGGGATCTACTGAACAGCAGAAAGGACAAATACTTGTGATACATGCACGTTGGATCACTGCTGTCCCATTGTTAGTTCAAGTTCCGGATGAAGTTTTCCTTGAAGTTTAAATGATCAGGATCTTAGTGACTGCATGAGGCATGTGAATTCAGACCTTGCAGAGACGTGGGTATTCGATCAGCTATCACACTACGAGGTAGTGAGTCGTACCCCTACCGGACATAATGTTTGGGTCACACAGTACGTTAGTATCTGCTATGCCATGATCAGAAAACCATGGGCCTCGCAGCCTGGTGTGCGCTGGCAGTACACTCGTACCTGGTTCCCTGCCGGTAGATGTGTTTGCGTTCCCGTCGGGCGTACCGGTCGTGAGCATGGCTGCCCGGTCATCCTCCTCTTCCTGACCCGTTGTCGTGCTGTTTTTGGCAAAGATCCTGGTCAAGTGTTTGTTGTAGACCAGGAGTGTGGTGATACGCCCCGGTGACGGTTCGGTCGTGCCAGCCACCTGCGCCTTCCCTCAAATCCGGCTTTCTTGACTATGTTTTGGCACCGGCCCCGGTGTGAAGAGAAAGAGTGCGGTAGATGCCGTGCAGGTCCACTTGCCTGCTGTAACTTGCTGTGGAGCACACGGTGAATACCGTCGACCACGATGTTCGAATCGTCTGACCAACAAAGTAATTGCCCTTCTGTCACCACATGCTTGTCGGCGTCAATGAGGACGAAAGTATCTTACCGAACACGGAACACTCCACATGATGGGGCCCATTACTGCGCAAGACGCAAGTATTAAACGCAATGTGACCAGGAGCTCTCTGGTAGGTTGGCTTGAAGCCCAGTCGGATAGGCATCCGGTCCACATCACTTGGGAGGTGCTGTCACTGTTACACAATTTCCTTAAAACATCCCCATACTCTAAACGTCTTCGCCTTACTTTTGTTTGCCTTAATCCTTTTCTGGAGGCGTAATAAACATTTTAAACGTTGAGACTCAATGACACTAAATAATAACAGGCACGGAACAGAAAAATTTTTTAGGATTGAGATGCCTATTCATGGTGTCAGAAAGTCCCATCCGACAGACTCCAGCCTGCAACTAAGTTTATGCTATGTCAAGTAATTTTTGCTTTTTTAATAATTTTGAACAGAGCGCACAAACTGCCCTGCGTAAGTCTTTGTTGGAAGTTCTGGTTGTTTTTACGTCTGTTTTCTATTACACGTATACACACTGAAGTCTTCTTCTATGTTTAGTGCTCAGATATGCCGGAGGAGATGCGCTCCGAAGTTGTGGAGTACTGCGTGACGGCGTGTGAGAAATATCCCGCAGACAATAGGGTGCGTTAAAGTGACATCGTTTTCCACTGTCATCCTCTCCCATTCAAAACTAAGAGAATTATAAGGTCGGGACATGACAGTTCGATCGTCGTAAACGACGGTGTCCGCCATGTACCGCAAGTAGCGGGTGCAGGACGGTGAGTCTCGTGTGAATTAGTTTATGGCGAGGCAGGTTTGCGAAGCTTTCATTGTGTTCTACCCCCCTCACCTTTTTTCTTCTGATGGCAAAACAATGCTAAAACGACTAAAGGCGGGCTGAATCATGAGAATGTGTCACTAAACTTTTTCGGGAACTACCAAGTGCAAGAACCCGTCCCTCCATAAACAGTTTATCATAAGGAAAGTTAGACGTGAAAGGGTCTACTCAAAGGACTAGGAGAGCAGGCCCTGAACAAGCCAATCTGTGCAAATGTCTGGTTCATACAGCGTGTCACGCGGGAGTCGGCCGGACCAACGCTAGGGATAGACAAGGGAATGAAATGCGTTATCCGGTCTGCGAACCTATAGCAAGTACTGCACATGGGATCTGATGGCCCGTCTAGACGCAGGCCCACGCCACACTAGCCACCTGTGCCTAATTATCGCATTAGACACGTGGCCGATCCGAATAAGGAACTGGTGCCTGGGAGACCAATGAGACCGAATGGTTGATCGGTCCCCACAGCAGTCAGCGCACACCCCTCAATATCAACAAACATACGCGCCTGAATCTGTCACGGTGGCCCAGAAGACGTGGCCTGGATGGCTACCAAATAACGACATAACTCGGTTCCCTTCTCCGGACAGAGACCTGGACTCCAATGGCTCCTTAGTAATGTGGCCTCTATGATTCACCTACTCAAATGGGATCCAGGTCTATCATGCGCGAACCAGACGTTTGTAGGAGCATAGGCGCGCTGTTTGGCTTGTCAGCCATCGCGCCCGATCCTCGGCTTTGCCTTGACAGCGGGCTCAGGCAAGTGAGAGAACATTGTGGCAGTTTCAACGCGAGTTTACTACCAATATAAACTAATTTAAGTGCAAGTCACGGACAATGTGCCTGTATAGTTGTGTGACATCTGGGGGACGTCTTCCGCGACTGCCGAACTGCCATACGTAGGTGCGCAAGATGGCAGAATGGGAAGACCACGATAGCGCTGACGACGGCATTAAGTCAGAAGCAGCTACTACAGTGCTTGACCTTTTTTGCAAAGCCTACCTACAAGCTATTGTGCGTTGCTAACAGATCGCCTGTCAGAACTCCATACCGAAAGGTCAAGGCAGCAAGCGTCGCCCCCTATTACGTCTCGTGACTGAAACAGATAGGCGCACACCATTCCCGCACGACTTTGAAGACACCCCATCGTCACTGACAGGGTATGCATGTGGGTTTTCCGGGTTCTCTGTTGTCTGACAACGGCAGGCAGACTAGAATACCCGTTTTAACTCCCCCTGTCTCGATCGGCAATACCTTCCGACTAGAGTGTGAAGTTAGCGTCCATACTCACCCCTTTTTTGGCAAATTTCTTCCTCCAGACGTCCCAACTTATCTATCTTTCAGCAAGCAAAAACTAGCCGGATGTGTCATTAGTCAATTACCTTAGTCTAGTTTCATGCAGAATGATTTGGGAATAGTTCCTGCATGTAAGTATGTATTGATTTGGCAAAATATGCCTACAATAGATAAAGCGAAGGTGCCCACAGAACTTAATGATCAAATATTCCGTTTCGTAAAGCAGTTTGATTAACCTCCACTTATTTTCTTTCTAGAGCGCCGCGCAGTGCCTGAAAGACGAATTGGACAAGAAATGTGGAACTACTTGGCACGTTGTTGTCGGTGAAGGTTACGGATTCGAAGTGACTTATGAACTCAATTCACTGTTATACATGTATTTTGGTGGAAATTTGGGAATTCTGGCATGGAAGTGTTAGCAAATTTTACCATTCATATAAATTCAAGGTCTTTTGCCTGGGCGTGTGAAGATTTTACATTTCGCATGTCACTGCATCCGCTCCAAAATTCCGAATCTAGTTCCAACATTCTAACTGTCCAAATAGACACTCCGGGATCATTAAAACAGTAAAATGCCATGAGACAGTCAAACTTGGTATCCGAAGCACTTAAAACCTGAATAACCAACCGGCGCCACCGTTTTTTTTTACGATTGACTGGTCCGCTCAGCCACCTGTACTGTGTCCGTCACGGTTACTTAGGAGATACTGCGTAGTGTGCTTTGCAGTAGTAGGCAGAACTAAGACGGGACAGTGACTTCGGACGTGATCGCGTAACATGCTTGCTAAGTGTCCGACAGAAAATAGCTTTGCGATCTCGTTGCAGGAGAAGCCAAATAAGTGAACAAAGTGACTGAAGAAATAACTTTTCGCGATAAAAAATAAAACACGCGAAAACAGTCGATGGAGAGTTTAGAAGAGCAACCGAGAATCGGGAGCAGACGGCGTAATCGGGATTTCACTTGTCGCAGACATGGGCAGACACTGAGGACTCAAATGTAAATGGGAGCCGGGAGGATGAGGATAGGTAACGAGGCGTCAGACGGTCTCACTATGTTCTGCACGGGAAAGGCCACCCCTCCATCTTGCGGGTGGCTGAAACATTGCGCGCATCTCATAGGGTATAGGTTGCTGGCGGCGTAAAAATTAGGATAAGCAATAAAGGTAAAAGGAGATTCTCGACTGGAATGACTAAAAAACTTAACGCCGGGAAAAAGTGAAAAGACGAAACGTGCGCTGAATTTGGGAACAAACAGTCTCGACACATGCAATAAATTCAATCCTTCTAGGAAATAATAGCGATTCTGTCGTGTTGGCACGTGAGGGGAATCCGTGATGGGATATTAACTCGTCCGGAACTCGGAGTTAGTATTTCCTGACAGTGGGCATCCGGCAGAGGGGTGTATTAGAAGAAAAAGGCTTCAGCCGCTGTTGTTTATGTCAAAAAGCATAACAAGAGTGGAGGTCGTGCTTCTTCCAGACTTATCCGAAGCAGCCAGCGGTGGCCGAAGGTATAAGAGGTCGCTCTGTGGCTAATTACGGTAAATCCATCAACTCGGCGAGAAATATGCGGAGCGGTCTCATACTACCAAAGCCATCTCAGTTACATTTTATAACATTGGTTCACCACTCCCCGATATCGCCTCGTCACATGCGGGCATGAGCGAAAATGGGGCTTCTAAAGATATCCCCTATTGTCAGTCAAATATATCCGAGAAATCCTAACTACAAAACGACAGGGTAAATAAGACGTACGAAGAATTTGGCGCTGGCTCGAAAGATTGCAGAAGACGGACAAGTTTTGAATAAGCTGCTCTCAGGGTGAAAACGCAGAACTGTAAACCTTTTGTTTCGGCTTTACTTTTTAGACTATGAGCAACGGTTGGATGGGTGGAAGAGTTTAGAAGGTGAGTTTTCATACATTCGGCGAATATTTAAGGGAGGCTGCAGTATTCATACGTGACTCGCGTGAGCATAGTTATTCACGGCCTAAGTTCGCAGGCATTTATGAATTCCTTCATAAAGAGTTCTTCGTGAGCAGTGAGTAAATAAAATATAGGGTGGGGGCGGAAAAACGGTAGCACCGAACCTTCGAGGCCAGGCCGTGCCGGATGAGATTGGACCGCAGGATTGCCGCTTGACAACGGAGGTGGCACTCGTCGGCAATACGAATGGCGTTAGCAAAGGTTGAACAACGTTGGTCAACATTCAACGCGCAGAGGAGCTGTGATTCAAAGACAACAAACAAAGGAGGGCCTTCTCATGATGAAGAATAACGCATGCACACAAGGGTTGGCATTTTCAGAGGCGGGGGGGCGACGGCGTGTGACTGAAACTCGGCCGAAAAAAGGGACGACAACTGTGGATTTTGAACGATACCCCAAGTAGTGTGCTGACCGCATACTGGATGAAACAGTGCTCACTCGCTGTAATAACATTGCCAGAGTACTTTAGATCGTCCAGGAAGAACAAATAGATCAACCTGGAAACATTCGTCGTTCAGACTAAGAATTCGGTAGGGCCGGCCTACAGCCGGCGTCCGCCAAGAAATGTAGCTATTAAGGCTTCAGTACTAGGTCCTCATCATTGGAGAGGGGGCCCTTGGCTTAACGGGTAGAGCAGCAAACCAAATAACCGAGTTACATGAGTATAACTCCGAGTCCCTCCGGCCTGGGATTGGAGTATAGCGGGCTAACGAAGGCAGATAAGCCACGAGCTGTCGTTCTAGTTTTCCCTACATTTTAGTAGTAGTAGTAGTAGTAGTAGTAGTAGTAGTAGTAGTAGTATTGGTAGTAGTAGTAGTAGTAGTAGTAGTAGTAGTAGTAGTAGTAGT